CAGCAAACAAGAGTTATCAGTGAGCTTTGAAATAAGGGAGTAGGAAGAATGTCTCCCTCACTGGGGGACAGTCACATGATTGGAACCATATGTAATCAATTCATGAGATTTTCAGCTCCCGAAGAAAATGGAGAGGAAAGACACAATGCAAGGAATTGAATTGTGAAATTGAGGTTATATTGAAGGCGTTTATAGGATTAGGGAGACTTGCAAGAAGGAAAAAAAGAAAAGGGTTGATTTCAGATATTTAGGAAAGGTGATTTTCTAGTGTGCAGGCCAAAGGAAAAAAGTGGTTTGCTGTTTGGACAGAGTCCAGGTTTTCTTTATCCTTTTTCCTACACCTTTTTTCTTCTCTTTTTTTTTTAGTTTATCAGCTGAGAGCTGTGATCTGGTGGGCCCTAGCTGTACCTTTGCACACCAGTCAGGTGGGGAAAACCAGGTTATGTGCCTCCTTCCCCTTAGAGCCTCATGTGAATCACACATACACACATTGTAGTCCTTGTTTTGCTCCACAGATTGGTTGTAGACATCTTAAATTATAACAGCCAAGGTGAAGGGGCAAGAACTGATCAGGCTGGAAACCTTTTTTTTTCTTTTTTTAATGAAGGAGAGAAGCAAAGCATATTCCTGAAGTAGTAAATACTTGTTAAATGTAAGAAGGGTTATTAATGCATGACTGTGCATTAATATGATAAACCAAATAAAACGGTAGGTTTCTGCTAACAGTACAGCAATATGGTTGCCTTCTTTCCTCTAAATATTATTACTGGATACTTTCTTTTGCTTGCCTTCCTTATTCACTGCATGGCTGTTGCCTTAAGAAAGGCAACAAAGACACAACTAAATGTTCAGTAAGAAGACCTCATTCCTTCCCCGTGGTGCAAAATATAAACAGAAGCGAGTGACCAAAATATAGAGAAACTTTCCCTAGTATGTACAATAGTTCAATAAAGAATGGGGATATAGAACAAAGTCTTTTGATTCACATTGTGATTTTCTCCAAACCTCAAAACTTTCCAGTCATTTTAATTGCCATAATGAAAATCCCTGTTCTTTTGCCGGACTATTTTTGTTGCATTTTGTTTACTTTTTTTTTGTCAGAGAAAACCGCCTTTAGGGTCAGTGAATGTAGAGTTAATATATGTGCCAAGTACTGGGAAAAAGTAAGTACATGGTTTCCTGAATCTACATCTTATTTTGGCTCACCTGTTAGAAGGAGGTTGTCTAGGGTATCTCTTCTTAGTGGTGGGTAATCTCACCTTTTAAGTTAGTTTTTGATTATGCAGTTTCTAAACAGATGTCTTAGTATGTATTTTAGCTTCAGTTTCATTCTCTTGGCTTTCAACGTGTGCATTCTTAAAATAAGCAACATCATCTTATCAACACAGTTTTGACCTCAGGGTGTTATAAACCACTTTTAACAATTCACTCACTAAGGGACATTCCTGAAAACTGTAGGTGATGAAATCGATTTATGAGTAGTGACATCTTCCTATGTCAATTGCAATTTGCTTTTGAGGATGTTTTGGGAGACTTTCTTTTGTTTTGGTTTGGCCTTTTTTTTTTAGTAGGGTTTAATATAAAATCTTTTGACTATTTTTACATGGGCATGTTTTCATTTAGACTATAATGTTCAAGAACTGAATGTGCCTTTTGTATATATGCAGAGCCCTCAATAGAAAAGTCATGTTCTTGTAGTTCCAATTAGCACTATAAATAGCTTTAGAATAATGCTGTGCTGAGAGCCATAGAGAGAGCCCCCACTGACATCTCCCAGAATCTTGTGAAAAGACAAAGGAGCAATGTTCTTTGGACTTCAAGAGAGAGAGAATCCTTGCTGGATATGTCTCTAGACATGAATTTCACCCAACATCATAAGTAGATTGAAGATATCCTCTAGTTTCCTTTTACCCTCTGATCTCTTATGGCTCTTCCTAGAAAACTGCTTGGAACTTGGTAAAGGCATGTGCAATTACAATGTCAATTGCCACTTTATGAAGAGAACTCAAGGACAAATCTCTCTGTTCCATATTCATTTCCTCCTGTCCATAAACAGCTCTGTTTCTCTGACAGCTCTTTCATCATCATCAACTTGACTTAATACAGAATTCTTTCTGCTGTGTACTTTTGTGTTGCTGTGGATGTCTCAGCCATTCTTCAAGTCGGCTTAGGCCTGCTCTTGTAGATTCTTTCTGCATAGTATCCTTGAGATAAGACCTGTCACAGCTATCCATACAGCTAAAAAATTACTCATGTTGAGTCTCGCATCTCACTTAGTTCAACATTCATTTCCCTGGCCGTGACTTGACAAAAGCAGTCTTGCCCCTTGCTCTGCTCTCATTCATTCAAAGTCAGCACTACTGTCTTTTGTTCATTTCACTTTGTTTTTCTCCATTGACTCCCTCTGTTCTGTCCCATCAAGTCTAACTACTAGCCTCCAATATCAGGGCTGCTCACAATCTCACAATCTTTTACCCCCTGCTCAGTCTTTTTTTTTTTTTTTTTTTAGTATCAAAAAACTGACTTTCATCTGCAGATGTTAAACAACATTGGTGTCAATTACTTTCCCATGGTGTTCTTCTACTAGCATCTGTTGTCTTTCTTACATGAGTCCTTTATGGAGGGATGGAGATCTTGTATATCTAATGACATGTTTCATTGGCTTCCTCCAAATCCTTAAAATGCAATACCACTGTGATACTGAAGTGTGCTTGACACCAATTAGAATAATCAGTTACTTGTGTAACTAATTAAACTGTTGTATTGTAAATAACATGCCATGTTCACTGTGTTCCTTTGAACATCTTCGTCTGTATTCTAGCTGTTGTTGCTTGTTTGAAACTTAAGGGTTGTCTTAAGAAGCAGGTGTATAAAACCTAGAGGTTGATATATCATAAAATATTTGTAAGTGAAGGAATAATATGAAATCTGATCCAGACTTGATCCATCATTTTGAAAAGTTGCATACCTGAAAAATCTCGCTATATTCAGTACAGCCGCAATGGAGGCTTCATGGAGAATGCAAATGCACTTTTACTGTGGATTGAACATGAATAAACCAAACTCTGGAATTCAATAGTTTAGTTTTACACCTGATGTAAAAGCTAAAGTTTTTTCATGCTGGGGTCAGCATAATTTTTAATAATCATTTGGTATGTGTGTCTATGTCAGCTATTTGCAGCTTTCGAGTAATTTTCATTCAAAAAGTGTGTTTGAAAAATGCTTCACGGCACTGAATTCCAAAATACAGACTAAAAGCTTAGATAGGTTGGGCTTAGATATGTTCGGGGTATCCAAGTGTATGTGCATTCACAGATTTTAATTGAAAAGTTCAGCATAACATCTTAGCTCAAGATAAATCGGAGTTTTACAGATACCATGGTAAAACAAAGAAGGCCTTCAAATAAAAGCCATCTGTTAGCCTTGTGTTCAGTAATTGCTGGTACTAAAATGTGTGTAAAACTTAGACAGTCAAAACCATGTTGACCGATGAGCTGAGTCATGGCCGAATAATAGCAGCCTAGGCACCATTATGCTGTACTTTTACGTATGCTGTTCATCTTCTCCACTCTGAATATGGCATACATCACCATCTCTGCCTAATTTTGTCAATAGTGCTTTTCATTAAATTAAATAGCCAAAACAAGCTATCTATTGGAAATTGTGATTTAGGTCTCTAGGGTATTCTTTTAGCCTTTAATAATAAGCCATATAAAGCTGCAAACAAGCATTTTCAAAAAGCAAGTAAATGGGCTTATGTATGTCTGCAGGGAAATGTTTTGATTGTGTAACCATGATGATGTGACTGACAAGAAGAGAAACAGTGGGAGTTATTTTATTTTTCTGTCCTGCTAAGTGAAATGCTACCTGGATGGAACACAGACGTGTAATCCAGTGAAGAATTTTTCCCTTTCTAATTAGTGATATTCTGAACTCCTTGGGGGAGACTATTTGTGGACCCCATGCTGCATTATGCCTTCAATAAACATATATGCTGACTCTAAGCACAGATCAAATAGCTCAGCTTCTGAAGCCTAATTTTACTCTCATTATCTGTATATTGCTGTATGATTTTTACAGCTTGGCATTGTGTAAATTTGTGGAGTTCAAAATGTACCTTTGTTAGATTATTGAATTCATTGTGAGCAGTGCAGCTCCTTTATCCTTCCTTTTGGATAAAAGATAAGCCGGTATTTAATTTAGTCAGAAAAGTTAAAATCAAATGGTTATTTTTCTTCTTTTAGTCACTTAAAATTGCTCACAATTATATATATATATATATATATAGTAAATTATATAATTTGAAAAAGAATGGTGAAAAAAATATTATTAGAAATGTTATTAGATATTAGCATTTGTATCTGTCTGGCAGTGCGTATTGCCATGGGAATTACTGCTTCCGAGTCCCATCCTGGGCTCTGCCACTGATCTGCTATGTTTTAGTAGGCAACCTAATCTTTTGATTCCTTAGAGACAATATGTATTAAATGGAGAAGTGACCACATCACTTACAAACAGTGTGATGTTAGTATTCATTGTCTTGTTCTGAAAAACTTTCTATGCATAGATTTCCCATTTACTTCAGGTGAATATAACTCTTGGACAAATCTCAGGAGCAGTATTTGTAATGTACACGGACATGTCTGAGGGATGATACTGGATTAAAAGTATATCTGGTAGCATGAAGGAAACTCAGGTTATGATCCCGAGACCCCTGGACCTGTGTCCTGAACAGGAGAAAGTCACACGTAACAGTTGGAAACAACATCTTAGCACAAAGGTGGTTTTACGTCATTGGCTTTGTAACAAGGCAATAATTTTACTGCTTTTCAGTTTGATATAGCATTTGTTATCCCTGTGGGGGTATTTGAGGCACCATTGGGTTTTTTTCGTTGTTTTTATTTTTCTGTCTAATAATAAGCAGTTAGCCCAAATGTTACTTGAAATAGCAACTATTTTCCCTGAACTGCAGTTTTATTTTCTTTTGGCTTTTATTTCAGCTGTGGGAGCCAGCTGCTCCAAAGAGTGTGGGAAGCTGACTTGGAGGCATGTCAGCTGTTCATCCAAGGGTTTCAGCTGAAAGAAACCAGTTGCTGCGTTTTTGAGGAAGAAGAGAACCAACTGGAGGAGATGGAGATGACTGCTGATGGCCCACCTGACTCTGAAAAAAGAAAAGAAGGTCACTTTCTGAAGGGCACAGAGTGGGTTACTGTTTCCTGCCACAAACACAGTGAGCTGAAAGAGGTATCTGAAATAGTTTACAGCTGCATTTCAAGCAATACTCATGGTTTTCCTTTTGAGAGAAAGAGTTGAATTTTGGTGACGGGTCAGCAGGGCAGGTTAAGTATGAACTTAACATCTGGCCTCCTATCTGGGACATGAATAAAATAGCTTATTAGCTTCTCAGAAGCCCTTCAACCCTTTTTCCTTTTACCATCAGTCTTTTTAAAATGTGGAAATTATTCAGGCTATAAATACAAAATGTACATCATGATGTAAAGGACAAACTATTAAGTGTTTAACTCAAATTATCAGATATTCCTCATCTCACTGACAAGTTTCACTCTGAGTTGGTTCTGCTCACTTGCTAGCCTGGATCTAGAGGAGAGAGTAAATTTTTTCCTCCCTTAGTGAAATGGTCAAAGGCTTCCGAGCTTAGATGCTAATAGGCTTACAGCATCCATCAAGTACAAAAAGGAGGAAAAAAAATCATGAAGCTTAAAAGGTTTGACAAATTTCTTTTAAGTTTTCACGTTCTGATCTGGAATGCCATCCTACTTGAAAAATGTACAACTATCTAATAGCCTTTTAACTGTACTGCCAAGGTAAACAAGCTGTTAAAAAAGCTTCATCACCCAACAGCACCACTGTAACAAAAAGACCTTCCAACAGGAGTCATTAGTTTTATTACCATGGAATTTAGTTGACAAAAATTTAAAGTGTTCCTAATTGCATTTGATGTTAAGAGCCATTGAACTATGTGTTGCTTTGAAATCTGATGCCTAATTTTGCATTCATACTGGCTGAGACTTAGAAGAAAGCAGATGCTTACCTTACTGTAAAATCTTTTGTAAGTAAAATTCTGATTTTATATCGGGCTTCAGTAGTTCTTGCGGTCTTTTCCCAAGGAAAATGGTTGCAATGGACTGACTCCACGTAGACAATGTTTTTATTAGAAATGGTCAGCTGTGGCTTTGATTCCGTCTCTACCCCTCTGTTATCATATTTCTGATGAGTCTACTGAAGTAATACGAGGAGTTCTATTGGTTATGGAATATTGCGCTCCCCTTTCAAAAGTGCAGCTTAGAAGCTCTGGAGGGTTTGGGGTTTTGTGACTGTTTCTGTAGCACTCTTGAGATCTGTACTATAGATTATCACCTCTTTAACCCCTACAAGTCCAGATCATTTCCCTGAAAATCAACCTTGCTATCCTAGAAGGACATCTGGGCAGCTGAAGTTAGGTGGCCTCTGGTTCTGGAGAGAGGTGCAGGAGTCAAGGGACAGGTTCCCCATATCTTAAATGGAAGAGGAAAGTGTACGCTTGCATTAAACTCCTCCTTTTGAACTTGCTTTTCCATTATTTCCTCTATGCATCTATCAATCATAGAGGGAACTTAGGGAGACTACCCACTAACTTCAGCTCTTCATCTAGGTGCTTAAACTTCGTGGTATAAATGGCCCATCCTGGTATCCTGAATAAACTCCATTTTGAGAATGTGCCAAAATCCATTCAGAAGCTGATGTGTAAACATGAAAATGTCCTTCAGGGAAGGCCTTGTGGAGGTACTCCTCCGTCTGCCACAGCACTCCTATGACTGATAAACTTGAAAGAAAAAAAAGAAGCAGTTTTGCTGGTATGAGACTGGTCATGTATTGTCCAACTTTTAAATGAAGTTGAGCAACAGAGCTCTGTTTTATCATGACTTACTCAACCAGCTTTCTATTTCTTCAGTGCTGCCAACAGCCTTGACCATTGAGGCAAAGTTATGCATCAGTGATGACTGCAACCCATTGTAACCATAAACTCCCCCAACATAATGACCGTATTCTGGCTCTGGATTTAGGGTTGGGTTGCCTGCTTTTATACTTTTAGAAGCTGAGATTTTTTTTCTTTGTTGTGGGGTATAGAAGTTTTACCCAGGAAAGAATGCTTTAGGTTGATGTCAGTAGGGTTGACAGGCCCTAAACATTTAGAGAAGACCTGTAGCAGAATAACATCCCTAACATCTCTTAGTAGTTCATCACAAGGCAGAATATAAAAACAAACAAAATCATGCTAACTTAGTTTTGATTGTGTCGAAGTACAAAAGAGAATATGCCTTGATTTGTAAATGGACTTAGTTGAAAAAGAAACCGCTTCTGAAACATTTAAGTGCTCTGTTATGTGGTGGTGTATTATTTTATTTAAAAATTAATTTCGTATTTGTGGTCCCCCCAAAAAAATAGTAGTGTGGTGCTTAGTCTCTAAATATAGCCATTTATGTTACTTTTATGTAAAAACTTATCATTGTCCATTAGTAGAGAACCTTTTTATAGCCATTTATTAGCAAGTGAGAATACCTAATAGAGAAGCATGAATTAGTCAGAATACTTGGTTTGATATTATTTACCAAGCCTCTGGTGTTTCTGTGAGAGGAGTACCTTGCTTTGGTTGCTATGTTTCTAGAATATTGTCATAGTTTAGGAATGACACTCCCCAGTTTAGTGCCCCTCCCCAACTGAGACTCCCCCAAACTAGAAGCTGTTTGCTAGCTCCTTTCCCCACTAACCCCTCTCCCTTCCTGTTGCAGGGATGAGGTTGAGAATTGGAGGTCCAAAAAGGTGAAAATTACAGGTTGAGATAAGGAACAGTAACAGCAACAATATCAGTAACAAAAGGTATAAGGCAAAGAAACAATCCACATGGAAAAAACCAGACAGAATACCAACTGGCTCTTCCCTACCACACTTAGCTTTCCCCACAGAGAGATTGAGTCCCTTACTCCGGCCCTGTGATGGTATTGAATGACCAATAATTAGGGTCTGTCCATGCTCTCTTCCTGGCTACTGTAAAAAAATTAACCCTGTCCCGGCCAAAACTAGGAGAAATGACTAATCTCTTCAACTGTGTCACAACCTCTGTTCCCCATTGGGGAATTTCTAGAGAGCACCGTTGGTCACCGAAGTAGAAGGAAAAAGTAGAAGGAAAAAGTGTATTTAGAGGTTACTGAATTACTTACTTCAAAACAGTATAGGAAAGGCTAATGATAGCATATGTACATATGTGCCTTGGAGGGTACATTTCATTCCCAGGTGATTGATTTACTTTACAGTGAAATGCTATAAATGAAGCTCTCCAGTTATTTATTGTGTCATATCTAGCTAAACATTAGTGTTGGGTGGATATTGGTTTTGTTGATGTGTACTATAAGCAGTGTTCTTGCATATAACTGTATCTTACTGTTTGTTTCATTAGAAAGCAAAAAACTAAGTAAGAAAAATAATTATAAGAAAAGCAAAATAGATGAATCGAAAGAGCCCTTCACTAAGATCCTCAGATACTGCTTTGTAGAAGGACTGTGTATCATTTTTAATTAAATATCCCCACTAGATCACAAAATATTACATGTTCTGTTTTAAAAATATGTAACGTATAAATTCTTTGAAAGTTCAATATTTTACTGTCATATGAGCACAGGTTTATTAACTGTCAACAGTTATTTTATAGTTTTCATAACTGTGTTTTCTAAGACTGCTGATTTTTTTTCCCAGCTTTTATGTGGTAGACTGGCATCCCAAAATAATTCTGTAAATTAGGTTTCCTTTACAACACTGACTGTTAACCAGGGAAGACAATCACATGCTTTTACAGCTCAGCTTGTTGAAGCATCATTACTAATGTCTTGGTCAGAACTAAATAAAGTGGGGCCAGCAAAAATCATCCTGTGAAATACTCTGAGTTACTTAAAAAATAAGATGTATTTTTCTCAATTACAGACAACTCATTAGACTATAGTATTAAAAAAAATGCTGAGGCAAAGTTGCAGACAATATTACTACCCTCAGTCATGTGAAAGTCAGCTTGTCTAATTTATTTGATATAGATTATTGAATTTTCATATAAGAATATACTTTCCAGCTGGTAGCTATATTGATGAAATTAGGGTACCCTATCATTGCAGTTGTAGTTTGTCTTTTTGTGACTATTTGGGCTTGATTTTTCTCCCAGGTCTCTGAGGAATTTAAGATAGGTTCTAGTTTTCATCCTAGAAATGTTCCATACTTCTAAACTGACTGCAAATTATTTTGTCTGGGTGATATGTGAGTGAGGTGGAAATTGCTATGATCCTTACTACATAGTTAGATACATATCTGTGTGATTTCTAAAATATACAGTAGCATTTCGGTTTTTTCAGACAATGCCTGCTTGTTCCACTCCTTATGATAACTTGCTTTATTTTTTGCTTGTTGATAACGTATGTGTAAGAAAAAGCTTTTAATAACAGCGGAAACATCAATGATAACTAATAAACTGAGAGATGTGTGTGTGCTGGGACCTTCCTAACAGCAAGTAACTTGATGAACCTGGGTATGTGTGCACCTGCAGGCTTGAGTTCCTGACCTATCCTTTTTTCTTCTTCTTCTGCTCTCTGGCATGCTGTGCAGTGCTCCCTCTTAATCACTATGAAGGAAAGAAACACCTACTAGATTTCAAGAAAATTGAGGTGATTAAAGTTACAAGGTAAAATCCAAAATTCAGTAGTTTTACCTTTTGTAAGTCAGCATTTTTGGTAGTTTCCCATGAGAATTCTTTGTAGATCACTTCTTCCTTTTTCATCATAAAAGAGTAGAGAACAGGGATAAGGGTAAGGGCTGCTGTCTCTGCATACTTAATTTTTGCCCCCTGGGATGATGTTTTGGGGTCTTTTGAAGATCATGCTGGTGTTGGGAAGATGTTCTATAATTGTAAAGCCTTCATGTAATTAACTTTTTAAAAGGTACTGAGTGTTCTAAGTGATACCAAATGAAAAATTATGAAAAAATAATAATATTTAGTGTGGTGTCTCTCATTAAAAAGAAGCTATCACAGGACATAATACAACATTTTTCAGAATTTAGTGATAGCAAGACCAAGAAAGGCTTTGTAAACAAGCTGTAACTCATTACTGTGCATTGAGATAGCTTATGGTCCAGGAGGTAAATGGGCAATGTGTGAAGGACAAAGCCTTGCAAAAGCTAAATAAACTGTGCATTCATTTGAGTTTTAATTAAATGTTGTATTTGTGAAGCTTTGAAAAAATAATTTGGAAACTTTAAATCTGAGTTTTAAGTGTCAGCATTAAGCATTACTGAAAGTCAGCATTTCTGTGTTTTTTGTATTGATCCAAACTGGAAAGGATTTCAGTAGCAACAGGCAGCTGGCTTGTACACAGTGGTCAGATCATCGCTGTATAGTCACGTGCGTAGTTGTACAGCACAATGCCCCTCAGCTTCATCTGATACTGTGGTGTAGTGAAAATGTTAACTCTTTAGCTAGGGGTTGTAGCATCGCAGTAGGCTTAAAGCTTACATGTATTTTGCGGTAAAAATATAATCTGAAAATTAATATTATGGGCAAAAGAAATCTAAGCAACCTTTTTTCAGATTGATTATTGAAAATAGTATCCAGTAACAATGATGAATTTCTGGCAGATTAATGATTTTGCACTTTTTTATATATTTATGTACCTACCTCTGATACCAAGTACTGCCCTACCAAAGCAATATGCTTATCTCAGTTTATGTAAAGATTATCAATACTGTACCATGTGATAAGTATTAATGATTTTCCAGTAATGTTAACATCAAATTTCTTTGCTCCTCAGCCAATCAATGAAATGTTGGCTAATTTCTTACAGAGTTCACAGATGAAGCAAGTTTTGAAAGAGGAACTGACTATAGTTAGCAAGTGTTACCAATAGAAAACATCAGTGGGGTCTCTCATTTCTCCTGAGCAAAATCATGTACAGGGTTTATGCCAAAAATACTTCTGTAGACTCTTGAACAGTATACAGATCTGCAAAAGCTTGATAGAAAAGTTTGTTTCAGTCTGTAGTTAGTCCTTCCGTTTTAGAGGCAGTATTCCCTGTGCATTTTAACTGAGAAGCCAAAGACAGGCTTTAATAAAATGTATTCAAATATAGTTTTTAAGATTGGGTGTCTGCCACTGCCCCATTACAAGTGCAATTTATAATCTTTCATGCATGTGAAGCAAATTGATGCAGTTGTTCAGCTTATATAAATTTTATTGTGCTGTATGGTTTTTATAGGTTACGTTGAAATTGTACTGTTTATACAGCACGTATCTACTATATACTTAATAATTTATCTCTAACAGGTTATGGAAGACATTTCATTTGGAACAGAAGGTCATTTGTCTGAGGTAAGTGTTTCCTAGGCAAAATAAAGTGGTGGTATTGTACTGACTTTTCTTTGTCTCGATTAGAATTAATGACACTTGTTTTTATAGTGTTACCTTGGGGTAAAAATTGCTAAAGAGTGTGAGCACTTAGAAAAGCAACACAATCACAATGAGAGTGGGCCCATTCCTTTTTTTCTTTATTTTTTTCCATTGAAAATAATGGCAAAGTTGCTGAGTGTTTCAGTGAGTTTATACTTAAATCCTGTGCTAATGTTTTTAACATATACCAGCAACAGCATGAATATGTTTGAGAAAAGTAGGACCAGTAATATTTAGCCAACCTTACTTGTAGCACTGTCTTGATGCTTAGGAATGGAACAAAGTCACGATGCCTGTTTTCTCGTGTACCACTAAAAATACCTTTCAATTTACTTTTGGAGTATAAAAGCATACAGACTGTGGGAGAATACAGGGTAATAGAAATTTCATCTGAATAAAAATACTGGATGTTTGTAATTTTACATTATTTTCATAAACAAAAATATGTTGCATCCTAGTCCCTCTATTTAAGAAGGCTGGGATAATTAAGTAACATAAGATGCATTTCCTGTGAGATAAATCTGCTTATATACAAAAATCCATCTACCTACAAACTAAGAGTTTAGGTAATATAAGTGTAAGGAGAGTTATACTGATTCTAAGAGCTGTACTGTTTTAGTCTTGTCCATTTTTACATCAGTATGCCTTGAGTTGCAACTTACTTAAAAAGGAAATCTAGTATCCAAGCATTGTGTCCAGCCAGCAAATAAATTGCATGAACAAGTAACTCCCAGTTCACCTTCCATAATAGCATACATGCCACCTGTCAAGTACGAGTGACAAGTGCTCAGCCAAGCAAATATTAAATAAATAAATACTGCAGTTTAGGATAACTATTCAGATGAGGCATTTCTTTAGATTCCCACCAGTGAATCCAAAGACTGGATTGGCTGGAATGCTTTAGGAAAGATAGAAGATATTGCAAGACCAAATTCAGATTGTTGACCTTGTGTTCAGGGAGAATGTGACATGAGAGCATGCCTAGGACAGACTGCTTGACTGTGTGTGAGGTCAGCATAAATAAAAACAGGAAGCCTTGAGAATGAAGGTGAACTTTGCAGAAAATGCAAATGACCTTTCTGATCAGTGAACTTTGCTATGAATTAAAGCAAAACTGTGCAGGTGCTTGTGTCCACAGATGACATGAAATAGGGGAGGCAGTCCTGCGGGATAAAGGTAGCAAAAAGCCCTACTTCCATCAGGGCAAAATACTGAGGGCACCAGAGCTCACAGGGCTGCCTGTAAAAGTATTCTTTAAGAGCTTAATATCTTACAGTCCTCAGAAGTGGAGAAACTTTGCCCTTTTGAAGTTTTGAGGGGGGGAAATAGTGTATAAAGACAATAGAAAGCAATGATACAAATAAAGGAAATGGAAATACGCTAGAAAGCCAGGCTCTACCACACTGCCAGAGATGGATTGATATTGACTTGTAGACAGCTCTATAAAAGCTCTGTGGAACTGTCAGCACCCTGTACCATGTCAAGGCTTTGCCTAAGTGTTCCCCTAATCCTTTCTTGTCAGTCTCCCCACCGTCTGCAGGAGAGCACCCAGTTAGTCATTCCAGATTGTTTCATCCTAGTGACTCAGGAGCAGAGATGGGAGTGAATACAAGGAACCACCTATAAATGATACCCAGCTACGCTGACTCCTTTCACAGCAGGGTGTTGACACTGGAAAACAGTTTGGTGCTTTTGTTTCCTTTTCCAAGTCCTGACCCACTGTGAATTTTTATTGGTAAGTCAGTAAATAGCCTTATCCTCCCACAGCAGGAACTGGAATTGTCCCAGTTTAATTAAATAAGCCAGTGCAGTAGTGTGCTCTCATTTTAGGAAATCTGTAGTTGGGGAAGATCTTCAGTCTACTAGGGATGAGAATGGGAAGACTGCTGTCGGCCTACAGCAGGGTACTGGAACGCAGTGAAAAACTGTATTCCTGCATAGATGCTTTTCCAAGGACACTCTTCCATAGCTGTAATGGAAGATAAATGAAGGGAACAATTGCCAACATTGGACTGTAATTCTGATGAGTCATTTAACACTGGCATGTGTTGTTATATCCCTGTGGTGGAGGGAAGGGGATCAGTGCAAGCAAAGGAAGTGTGGGAAAAGCGTGTGATGGTGGGAAGGAGGTAGGCCACAGTTGCAAAACAGCTATCTGGAAAGCTTTATGCCTGAATTGTTGCATATGAGAAAGTGGGGAGTGTGTTGTAGTGCTGAAATCTCCTAAATATACATAAACAGGCTGATGGAACAAGCTAGCAGTCTGTAAGTGGAAGGTGACAAGAGCAAGAGTAACTGGGAAACAACCTTGATCTCTTTTCTGAGAAAAGGAGGATAGCTACCTCCATGAAAGAAAAACTCACCTAAACAAAATCAGGGAAGAAGCAACAAGTGAGTTTACATGGGACAAGCTCTGTAGGAGGAGGAATCAGCAGATTTTCTTCAGTACTGTCCTGAAGACATCAGGTTTATAGTACAGCACTGTCTTCTTTTGGTGTAGAAAAGAACAAGCAGAGTCACAGACTACATATCTATGTCAGCAGCTTTTCAGTAGTTCAAAAGAGTGTTGAAAAGGAAAGGGCAAAAATGTTCCCAAGAATGACTCTAAAAGGGTACTTTAGCATGTAATAGTGCAGGCAGCAAGACCACTAAGCACACTAAGTTATTGTAAACAGAAGATGTGAAATGTCAAAAGAGTTCAGGTACAAGTTGTGTGTAAGAGATAGGTGAAAGCAAGCATGTGTGTCTTCTAATAAGAAAGGTGAATGAGAAAAGAAATGAGATCAGAATTAATTTTTATTCTTTATTTTTTTTGCTTTTGGTCTTTCTAAAAATGATAAGCTATGTCCAAATATGTAGTGCTCTTGGTATTTGCTACCAGGTAGCAAGAGACAAACACAGTAAAGGATCCTAAGGCAAATGAGATGTACTCAAGTCAGGCTAGACTGATGAAATTTTTTCTAAGTGCATAGGAGCCAAGGAAAACAATCTCCAAACCATTAACAAGCTTCTTCGAAAACTCCTAGAGGAAGCTTGAAGTCCCAGGGGGTCAGTAAAAGGCATACATGGTATTTGCCTTTAGAAAGGAGGTAGGCCAGGAGTTTATGTGCCAGTCAACATAATTTCAATTAGGATTAGAATTTCAAATGCTCTTGATAGATTGAAAGAATAGCCTGAAATCAATAAAAAGGGATATGTTAAAAGACAGGTGCAAATTACATTTGAGGGAGAAAAAGAGTCCAATTTATATATACCGATGGTAAATAGCCACTAAGATGGCAATACTGCAGAAGAAGAATCTAGGCTTATAGTGGACTACAAATATAGTGGGATTCATTACCTTCATTGAGCTGGAAGAAAGAGCAAATGTCACTTGCAGCCTCATTAATGGGAATGTCAGTTGTAAGACAGAAATAATTACTGTGCTTAGCTGAGAATGCCAAAGCCTCAAGAGGACTATGGTTTGGACACCTTACTCTGCGGAAGACAGGAACACAGTGAAGAAAAGAAGGAAAGGAATAGAAATAAAAGGTTTAGAAATTGTAGTCTGGTTGAAAGTCAAAATCTTCAACCACATAAAACATAATGATAAGCAGGACAACTAGTAGTTAATGGTGTGTGCTATTTAAGGGTAAAATGAAATGTAACCATCCTGGTTTGTAGCAAGAGAAGTTTGCAGGATGAAGACTTGCTCATGGCAAGGGCAGTTTAGCCCTGGAGCCAGTACCCTGCAACCATCCATTGTCAGCTGCTAAGAGCCACATATACAGACACCAACTGAGCCCAGTCACAGTAGGCTTGGTCACACTGCAAGTCACAGAGTGGGCTTCGGTGGTCCCTGGTTGCTTCCTGGTCAACCTTGCCATGATGGTGTTGGTCAAAAGTAACATTCATTATTTTCAAACTCAGAGATTAGACCTCTTCTCGGTGGACATGTTGCCTTCCGCATCTATGATTGTTCTGCCCAGAACAATGCATGTGGGGCAGGAAATCTGGGATGCAGAGCAGGAACGAATGCTTCCTCCACCTGCACTTTGGACACCTCATGGCTGTGTAGCTCATTGTCTGGGGTCACGTGCACTTAGCCTGCATGTGACTGAAGCATCTGCTCAAGCAGGACAAACATATGGATTGTTGTGTTTTGTTTCTAGAAATTATTTAAGAGATACCCTAGCCTGATGTTATGGAGTTTCAAGTGCTGACAATTGCCATTAACTTCTGCAAGGGTCGAGGGTAAACATGCAGCTCTTCTGCCAACAATAGGTCACTGTTCTAAACCTTGTGCCATAATGAGAAGTGTCTGTCTGCAAGGGCAACTTTTTGTAGTTGTTATTTATGTTATTTTGAATTATTTTAACTGTTTTAGTAGAGAAAATTTAGTGCAGGTGAAAGAAATCTGGCTTTGACTCTGCAGAAGGTCTTCTAAGGCTTGTATCTTATTGGAATTATGATGGTGCTACTTGTAAGTAAAGCAACGCCTTTTTACAGAAGTTCCTCTGTAAGAAGAATGAATTTTAAGAATATATCTGTGAATCCTGCTTTTCAGCACAATGACCTAAGACTCTAATATAGACTCTAATCCATAATAGAATTAGATTAATCTAGCTACTACAATTCTGATTCTTCTGTATAAAATTGAACCAGATTCAAGAGCACAGAAGGTGTTTGCACTGGAAAAGCTGATCAAACAGTCTCCTTGAGTAATGCTGTTGAGGAGCTGTTGCTCACAGGTTACTAAAACAACTTGTAAAAGAGTAAAATGAAATGCAGAACACTAAACCAGAAACCATTCCCTCTGCTCTTAATGCAGTATGCTGATGTTCCTGCAATGCATCATCTGGAACGTTGTTTGTTCTTACTGTTTTTTGCATCAGGCTCTTACATCTCTGGGAAAGCATGAGAATTTCTACTTTATGTGAGAAGGCAGAAGAATTTCACCTTAAAAAATAATTCACGTCCATTATTTGTGCTGTTTTCACTGGCTTAAGGATTTAGAGGAAAAAAAATTCCCAACCAACTACATTCCCTGTTTACAGAAAAATCCATAAAGCAATATTGCATCTCAGCTCTTTCCTGACTCCAGCAATCTCTCCTAGCTGCTTCCTAAAAGTGATGCTAGTGCAAAAATAACCAAAGAAATCTTAAGACCTACAGCAGCTTGTAACACTGAGATAACCTACAAGCCTGGATGGGTTGTATTTTATTAATATGTTGAGCTTGAGGCAGAGTCCACTCTCCTCTCAGAGATATTGTTGATCAGTGTAAAGTGCCACTTTCCAACCGGGAGCTATTCTGAATAGTTTTGTGTCGCTGACAGTGGTTTCCCTGCCTACATAGACAAATGTCAAATAAAAATATTACCAGTGATGCTACCAGGCATAAAAGGCACTAAGAGAATTCTTTTCTATCTACTTCTCTGGGTTATCAAACTTTTTTCAAACGAAGCCTTGGGGGCAGAAACTGTGGAATTGCTTGAATATTTAGAATTATTATTGTGTATTTTTGAGAGCAGTGTATATTTTTTCCATTTTCTTTTATATATATAAGTTCTGGAAAATCATACTTTATGTGATGGTTCTCCTGCATTTTTCATATGACACGTGCAACTAAGTTCCTGTGAGACAATACTGGTCTAAAGTATTGGAGGAATTTCTCATTTCAACTAAAAAGGCAGCTGGGTTATGTAGATGCAGAAATAGTTTATCCCTACACTGTTATGGCTGTATTAAAGAGAAATTAAGCTGCTGTTAGAAATGACGGTTATGTGAAGACCTGATTTTCTTACATGTTATTACTGTTAGAGGAAAATCAGTGATCAAAGGTGGATCTTTCCCTACATGGTCGTAGTTTTAGATGTGCTTTCAGAGTACTCGGTATTTTTTTCTATTTACTGAGTTTTTTAGCCCAAGACCTAAGGTCTTTTAGACAACTGTCATCTGTTCTTGCATGCATGTCACAGAATGATTTACTAAGAGCTTTCTGTTGATAGAAATTGCTTGGGTTATCCCACTCCATAGCAGCATATGGAGTCCTGCTGGTATACTGAGTAATAATTTAGCTGCTGAATGGAAGACTTTGTCCTCATCTTCTGTTCCTGGTCATGAGAAAAGGATGTTCCTAGTTGCTGCAAGGAAAATGTTTTCTTTCTTCTCTCCTGTTGTCATTTTAAAAACAATGGGTCATTTTCACATCTGTAAGTTCTGTGAAGTGCTGCTGTAGATTCTCATGTTTGGTAATGTCTCTGGAGATGTTGGTCTTGTGCACAGAGCCAGGGACTCAGGTGTTGTGCTGCTCTGTGTCTGAACTGCTAGTGTTTGCAACATGACCTCTCTTAACAAGCCCACCCGTCCAGGGTTTGAGCTGCAGGTGGTTTTGCACCTGTGCAATGTGCTGGATAGCCATGTCTGGCATAGGCCCTAGGGAAGCAGGGGGCTCAAAGCTCTGTGCCATAATTGAGGATGTGCCAGGAAGCACAGCTCTTCTCACATTTGACTCCTCCTATGCACTGTGTGATGCAAAGTGAAAGGATAGCACAGAACTGAGGTCTGGTAAATGTGTTTACCAAATGGGCAGCGTTCCAACAAGCATTGGCACAATTTATTTGGAAGGCCTTTGATTGAAGGCTTGAGTTTTCTTAGACAACCACTGGTGGTTGCTCTTACAGCAACAAATCAGTGCAAAGGACCCCAAGTACATTTTTTTTTTTTAGCAGAGGAAAAACTTTCTGTATATTGTATATGGCCCCATGGTCATATTGCTTTATGGATGACTGCATAGATCAGGTTTAGAGAAAATCCAGTTTTCTGGATCCCAGCTGATAAATTATTCAATTTTTTTTTTCAACATGGCTCCAGCAGAACTTCATCTTGGCACTATAATCTTTTCCTTACAAATAATCCCTGTCATTCACTGTAGGCAGTGCTATGGTGCCGTGGGAGGGAGAGGAAAGGCTTGTCTCAGAGCTGCACAAATTGATTTAATTTTTTTTCCCTCTTCATATTTGCTGCTTGCTCGGGTCGTTTCTCAAATTCACTGAAAAATGTCAAAGATAACAATTATTCTTGTGCAGTGTATCTGAAAAAAAATTATGGGGAGGACTTTGAAACTAGTGTAAAATGGCAGAAGTATTTGTCTGTATAAATTCTAAGTACAGAACCATTATTTTTGAAATATTTTTTTGTTTAATGATAATTCAGTAAAAAAGCATGGTTTTGTCTCATAATCTCCAAGACTTTGACGCATTTTCTTTGAATAATTGAACAAAGTCACTAAGTATTCCAGCCAGATTTTTCTTCAAAAATGTAAGTACATTTTTTGCTTATAAGAGATACAAAAAGTGATGCTGCTTGAAATATTTAAGTGACCGAAAAGTGTAAATCATATTTATATGAACAACTTGAAATTTGGAAACCTAAATGGTGTGGTCAGCATGAGACCTCTCCCGCTGTGGTGAGTCAACAGGGGAAAATGGAGAGCAGTTTGGTCTTCACACCCCCTTTAATCATCTGCTGAAAGTGATATCATGACTTGTTTCTGCTGGGAAGTAGACTGAGACCACAAACTCATTCCATTTCATATAAATCACCAATTTATTATACAGTAACAGCTTTTTGTCTCTTTAATAGCAATTTGCTTTTAGGCAATGTCTTTGCACTGCAAAGCATCATATCCTCTTACTAATATTTTATTTTCCCTTTATTTGATGCAAATTTGATGTATAAAAGTGCAGCCAGCAGCAAACATGCCTTTTTCTTTTTTTCAACTTTCTGTAGGAGTTCTTCATATTTTCTGCAGAGTTAGGAGAAAAATGTGAAGCAATAAGTGAGAAATTGGTGCATCTGGAAGATCAATTGCAAAGTTCCACCTGCAGAGTTGATGAAGGAGTTATTCATATCCTTTTTGCTATAGCTATAGATATGTATCAATCTATGTAAGTATGTACGTGAAATACCTTTCAGATTCACATGGAATGCTAGTTCTTATTGTAGATTTGATACATTAAGAATGGAAGAATTGTCTTGCTGAAATGGGCATTTTTGTTTCCTACAGTGCATTTTCACTGTGGTCTGATCTAGCTTTAATTGGTTTAAATAGAAATTAGTTCTTTGTAAATTGAGATTAGGCAATGAAAAGACTTTATTTTACTGTTAAAATCATTTTGTTTGTAATGCTCATATAAGTAAAAACATGATGGACCAAAAGCTGCATGGATACAAGTGTTCATGCACCTGCATTTCCCAACATGATTTAACTAAATTAAATCCTACATTATTGACTCAGACTGTGTATATTGTTACATATAGTTTGGGGTTTTTTCATTTTTAAAAAAGTGGGAAACAGATGTATCATGTGTATCATCCTACAAAATTTAATCTGCCTCTAATACTCCAATGGAAGCAACCAGATGAGATGTCTTATCTTATGCACCCTTATCTCTCTCTGTGCTTCATCTGTCAGTATTTTTTTTAAGATTGCTTAACCTTTATGAGGCATTCATTAGGAATTTTTCAAAATTTAAGGGCACAGATTTTTTTAAATTTAATTTGTAACTTTCATAGGAAAAATGTATCATAAAAGAGAAAGGGTTCTTCTGAGAAAGGGTAAAGAGAAAAAGAACCAATGTGGCCAGGGAAGATGAGAGTACTTAGCTGGTAAGGTTTTTTTGAAGAAGAAGTGTCAGTCGAGAGGATAATGAAGAAAGATTAATAAATTCAGATTGGAGAGATTAGCAGAGGAGCCCTTGCAGACACCTGAAGGTGAGTTAAGGTGATGATGGTACTAGAAAGGATTCAGCTTCTGGTAAGCTGAGGTGGGGTAGTTTAGAGAAAGGAGAAAAAATAGTGTGTGGAAATACCACTGTGTTTTAAGTAATTTGGCATCAGTTGCCAAGTCATTGCAAAATTCCTATTTTAAAAACTTAGTTTATTTAAAGGTATCAGAAGGATAAACTTTAAGAGGCGGGAGGAGGGGAGAATGGAGCTGGGGCAAAGTTGCATCGGAGGGGACAAAATCCAGTCAGTAATTTGTTACCACTTCAAATCTTTCTTTTCTAAGCATTTCAATATACAGACAATATATAGAAAGATTCAACATTCTTTTAACTATATTTACAGAGTGCATACTTGGTTGTGTGTACAGCATCTAATTCCTTCCTCCCTTATGTATATTTACTCTTAAATGATCTTTTTTAATTGGCCCTAGTAGAAGAAGAGTATTGAGGGTTGGAGTTATGGGCTCTTTGCAGGGGATTTAAACTAATGACCTTCTGAACAGTCAGGTCTGATCATAGTTATAGTTTACTATAAGGTAAGATAAAATAAGCTGAAAAACTGCATTTTTGGTTCCAGAAGATAATACACTACAAGTATGAAAAATAGTAGTATTTGTACTTTTTATGGAGTATGCATATTTCTTCATAGCTGTTCAAACTGCAAGAGTCAGTTGAAAAAATTAAATTAATCATTGGAAGTTTCAGAAGTGTTATAGATTAGTCTTGTTTTAAGCCACGGTTGTCTGATAGAGATCTGATTTCCTCTATCAGTGAAATTCAGCTCACGTTACCTAAATACAGAAATGCACGCTGTGTGATATCCTGGTCCTAGCAAGACCATCAGTCACAAAATAAAAAAACATGTTTAAAACATAGGGACATACAAAGAAGCAGTTTAGCGATTCAGCTACCCCTCATTAACATTCAGTTGCTATTTCAGAAGTAGCCCAGATCAATGTGCATAAAATGTTACCATCTGGTACATGTAATCACTGAACTATCCTTCAAAAAGGAACGAGGAAAATAGCTACCACAGTGCTACAGACCTGTAGATTGTTGTGGGTTTTTTAAAAATAAAAACTTCTCAGTGCCTATAAAATAAACTTTCACTCACTGGTAAGTTGAATGTATTTCAGGAACTAGTACTGAGATAGGAGACAACAATTACCTTCAATAGAAGATGGATGATTAATAGATGGATCTGTTGTTTGCATAGTAGTTTATTTGGTTTTAAATAATTTCCTATCACAATAGTGGAAAATTATGCAGTCTTCATTAAAAATCTTTAGAACTCTGAAAAACTTATCCTGCTTTCATTACAATTTCAGATATTTAAGCTCATGCTCTCAAACTCTTGTTCACTGATTATTTTCACCCTTCCCATCATCCCCCCAAAAAACTGCCTTGCACATGAATGTAGCAAACTGTATTAGGTCAAAAATCTATCTGGGGGCTGCACAGATGTAAATTAGTCCTGTGGTCTGATTATTAAAAGACTTTTAAAGACTCCACTGAGAAAAATAAATTCATGATACTCTCAAGCCATTTGCCAATGTTTAGTGTGTGTCATAGCTTTGATTAATAATTAAGTTTGTATTAGAAGAAAAAACCCAGATGTTATTGTTTTTCATTCTATGAAACATTCTGTGTTTTGATGGCATAGCATGCGTAAATCAACCATGCTGCTCGTCATAATTGCCAACATGAACTGAACAAAGAAGAAATTTAGTGATATTTCTTGGTCCTGAGTATAGGCACAGACCCACTTGTGATTCTAATTTATTATTGAAATTTTTCACAGCAAACATTAAACTGTACTTTTGTATAAAAAGCATCAAACAATGGCAGGGGGTTTGTTAGAGCTCTCTGCAGCACTACGACAGATCTGCTGAATTCTACACAGTATAACCAAACAAACCCACAAAACATTCAATTATGAGTAATCATTAGTGAGTGTATGAAAACAGTCCACATCATTAATTGGAAAAACCAAAGGATGAGAGGTGACTCATTCTGGTGTCTGCAGAGCTGATGAGAGGTGTTACTTTCCTGACAGTAAAGGCCTGGAATTCCCACTAAAATTAAATGGACCCTGTATTTCAATTTCACAGTAATTTTTGTTCTTAATTAGCAGTTACATTTTGATAGACAATTTGAATGCATGTAATAGTTTGTCCTCAGGAAAATGCTTTGTTGGAAGAAAACCTGGCTAGAGTATTATTAGAAAAGCAATCTTCATTCCTTGCCCTAAAACAGACATTTTAATCAGCTCTTTCGAAAATGGAATTTTGTGCCTAAATGTTCGTTAAGCATTGCAGGTCACTTTGCTAACCTTTCACCTTTATCATATGGCAGGCACTCATACAAGTCTTGTTTTACACCGGAATAGGTTTTCAACAGAATCACAAGTGTAGAATTTAGCCTTGTCTGTACCTCACTGAGGAATCTCAGCCTGGGTGAACCTGTAAGAGATTTTGGGATCCCACAAGAGTGACAGGTGGCAGTGGTACCCTCTTTGATCTTATTTTAGATCATAAGAGACTGAGCCCTTCCCACTGTGAGTCACATTGAGAGTCCATCTCTGTCTTTTACCGTGGAGCCCACAGCATCCAGATGGGACCTCACCACTGCTGCCTATAGTGAAAGTATCAGCTCCCTGCACCTGCTGGCAGTGTTTTCTTAATCCAGCCCGGTAGGCTGTTGGCCACCTTTGCCTCAAGACACATTGATGGCACATGTTCAGCTCTGTCCCTCATGACCTTAAAAGGTCCTTTCCTGCAGAGCTACTTTCCAGCTGGCTGGCCACTTCATGTGTAGGAGCGCCTGGGGTTAGAAGAGACAGTTAGGTGGTGGTACATCTAGCAGAGTTTCTGTCTCCAGCCACTGTAACTTTTAGCTGTTGGAAACAAGAACAATAGTTAACCAATTTAAAAAAAAAAACACAAAACATCTTTGATATTTCTGTTCTTCAAGACAATTTCTTCTTCAGATGTCCAAAAATTGCTGTTATTCTCCGAAATCCCAGAGGCCCTTAGCTCAGCAGTAGTCCTTGATTATCCTTCTAAGGTTTTTTGTTTTACAACATATACTCTTAGTTTCTAATCTTTCCTACAGGAAATTGATTCGTAATATCTACCTTTTGACTCTCTAAACATCTGTGCTGAGAGAACAGAAGCTGCACCAATGAGCCTATTTTTTCAAAAAATTAAATCTCTACAGTATTTAGATCTGCTTTTTATCTCTGTGTAAATCATGGACTTTCTCGTGATGAGTTTTCAAAGAGAGGAAGTCAAATAGGTGAAAAGCTTAATGGAAGACAATGTTCAGCGTTGTTGAATATGGATTGTGTCTGTGTGAAACTGTACTCAAGTACTTTAATTTACTGCTTATGAGACATTAGAGAGATTTTTGTCAATTTTTCACAAGCAGACAGCAGAACCAGAATATATTCCTAGCTGAAACTTGGTTTTGCTCCTGCCTTGAATACTGGCTCAATAGTTGCAGCACTGGATAGAGAATTTAAGCATGAAGAACACCTTTGCATGTGGACCCATGGAAAACTGTTATTTGAATTTTTGAAATGCGTAAAGCTGTTTATCCAGATATAACCTTTGTATATGGATAGAGATTCCATGCTTAACCATATGCCGTATATTTTGCTTAGCCATAAAGGCTTGTTTGACAGATACTTGTCTACAGATGATTGTGGTATTATTTATGAGGTTATTGGATCTTGCTGTAGTTAGACTATGCAGTCATCTTTTTTCTGTTGCTCCATCTTTCTGTTGGTTAGAAGTTTCTTTCCTTGTCTTCGTCATTTTCTTCCATCCTTCAAGATTTTTCATCCGGTGAAACATTTCAATTTTGCTTTTTCTCTCAACCTGAAAAGAATTTTTTAAATGCTTGGGATATTACAAGTAACAGCATGTAGTCAGAGACTACACATCAGAAGTAATTAAATTTCAGAGACTTCATGGTGTTCTTAAGCTGAAGAATTTCTGTTTTACTAGTTAGATTTTCGGCAGAGCCTCATGATTAGGTTGCAGAGGGGTGGAGAGTCCAGGACCACTAATAAGAGAATAATAACTCTTCTCACTTCAGAGAAGATGCAAAACATCATTAATTTGTCCTTGTACGCTGCTTTGAGATTCTTGGATAGGAGAAGCTCTGTGTGTACTGCTATTATTTGTAATCAGAGACAGAAAACCTTTAGATTAACAGAGCTGTCCAGAAATTAGAAGTATGCACAAATATTAAGAGCAAAACATCATAGTAAATTCATGTAAATACACAAAGATGAAATTTTGAGGAACTGATAACAGAATCGAAAGCAGCCAAAACACTTTTCAAAGGCATAATAATGACTTCCTGAAATAGCAGTGATTTGTATAACTTTACCACGGTCTACTCTAGTTGCAATTTTTCAAAAGGAGTGTCTCACTTTTTACAGTTGTATAACCTGAGGCTGTCTTTTTTTCTTCACATTGTATTGACATCAGGGGTCAAGTAAAACACCATTTCATAATGTATGAGCTCTGTAAAGGATGAAGACTGTCCTCGTGCATTATCTTTTCTGTGCATCGTATTTTTGAAACTGAGCTGTTTCAGTGTCCTCCTGTTTCACTTCCCTTGAAGTGAGATTCTGAGATAATTTCATGACACACTGCTAGAAAGGAAACTGTTTCTGTCTTTTGGGATCCTTGCCCTTCAGCCATACCTGTAGAGGAAGCCTCAGTGTGGTTGGGATGGGCTCTAGGCCTTGTTCACATAGACTTGGTCATTCATTTAGCATTTCGGCAGGCTTTAACTTTCCTCTGCTTGCTTTCCTCTTCACATAGTGTAAGCTGTGGAAGAGAAAATAACACTGGTCTCATTGAGCTACACCCACTCCTTGCACTTCTTTCAACAATGAATAGTCTTGCTGATATAAGATTATCAGCAGAAAGGCCAATAAAATGTGGAAAACTCTTTCTTAACCAAATTAAGCATTTTATACTGAATTATTTAATACTTTTCAAGTGGCCTTCTTCCTTCTAAAGCACAACAGTACAACCTTGCTACTGCCCTTTTTGCTTTTCAACTTGTTCAAAGCATTGCCTGTGGAGTCTCGTATAGCTTTATATTTGTGTGTTCTGCACCACAGTTATATTGATAATTGAGTTAACGTTAAAGGTTTCGGGAGGTAAGTGGAGCAGAAACACTTTCTCTGCTATAAGCTCATTTTGCTTCTTACCTAGATTCCCATCCTGCCTTGCACAGCACACGCTGCTAAGCTCACTAATGCCCCATAAGCTGCAGTCACTTGGGTTATGTCTCAGACTGTTCCCACTGCCCTGTTGCCTTCACCTGGGGTCTGATCCACCCAGGTCAGTGTCTCTGTCTTAAAAATCCACCCTTCATCCAGCAGGGAACTCACAGCTCATGCTGCTGCCTCCATGGTACAATTTCTTTATCTCCTTCCTTCCCATGAAAACAGTATCCCCCCTCCCCTCCCTTTTTTAAAGTGCCAAGTAATGCTACTTGAGAACTTGAGTTTGCCTGGATTTTTCTTTTGAAAGCAAGTGTGAAAAATGTATTAATGCTTAATCCAAACAATTTGGAAGAAGTTGAAGCTACAATTAGATAGCAATGGCCATCTGTCGTGAGCAGCAGAACAAGAATTTATTTAATAACTTGGAAAGAGAACAGGAACTGCCAATCACCTATAGATTATTCCTTAATAAAGCTTGCACAGTCTCTGCAGAGGGAGATCCAGGTAGTGAAGGAGACACTCCAGACCATGCTAGTGCAACTTCAGTCACCCAAGGAGGCAGGAGAAGAAAAGGCTGGAGACTTCCTCTGTGACAGCTGGTGTCCAGGAAAACAAGACTTGAAGGAATAATGAGCAGAAAGAGCTGGTAGGATAACATTAATTCACAAAGGGCTGCTTTTAGTAACTGAATACTGTTTTACTAAGCCTCAGGGATCTCTTCTCTCCCCTGCATAACTAATAACTAAATCAATTATGGAGAAATAGAGCCTGAAGGTCTATCATCAGAAGTATGCTAGGCAGCCTCACATGTTTTGGCACAGATTGGGAAACAGCTTTCAGAGCAGAGCAGCTCCTGTAAATGTGTAGATTACAAATTGATACATTTCAAGTGAGTCTGCAAAGTTGCCTTTAATGTCAGTGAAATGTTCTTCTTGAAGACTCGTAAATGGTATCTGTCTCATGGATTCCCCCTCCCCCGATTTAAAAATGCAGCATTAAAGCTGGAACATCTAGTATTTCTTGGAAAATAGCTGTAAGAATAATAAGAACTTTTTTTCCCCTTTGGCTTTAAACAGCTTTCTTACACTGAATGTATTTTCACATTCCTGCCAATAATTAAATCAATAGGATGAAATTCAAGCAAACCAAGTTCTTTCAACAGAAATTTGGATCTCATTTACTCTGTGGTATTGAGTACAGTGGAGGTAACTAACAGCAGTCCTATAGCAGTAGTTTAACTAGCTTTATTTAGGTATAAACTTGCTTTAGTATTAACAGGGGTTGTAAAGCAAAAAAAAAAGCCTATGTTGATATGTGTTCCTTACATTTAAATATTGTATGAATAATAAGACATTTAAGTCTCCTTGTAAAGGTTACTACTATTACTTTGATCTTCCTTATAAACTTCAGAAGGAATGCAGATTTTTTTGCGAGACACATCTATATATATATCCTTAAACATGTATTTTTATAGGAAATAAAAGCAATGCTCAAGTGAAGCCACCCATTATAAATTACCTCTATTTAGATCATCGTTCAAAACAGTTAATGCCTTCAAAAATTCATTGTGTACTCTTCCTGTGATACGAGTATATCTCTGATGTCATAAAAAAATTCTGTTTCTGTCATTTGTTCTGGAGGGAAAATTAAAAAAAAAAAAACCAAACCACTGAATTGTTTTAAATCCAATAGATGAAGAAAATGTCTTGCAACTCCGTGCTGTACTTTTTTTGATACTGTTTTTCTGACACATTTGGAATTACTTTTCTCTGCTACTTCAAGTACTCATTTTACAGCCACATTGTGAAGGTTTTTAGCAAATTCTGGAGGTCACTGGACTACTTGTCCAATAAGATTGCGTTCATTTTCTTGTGTTTTTAAATACTAGTTGAAAATTCTACCTCAATGTTAAGTACATAATGAAGGAGGAAAAAAGCGCCAGGCAGCTGAGACATACAACAGGATTATAATTGCCTGCAGGAGCATACAGTTGTCAAACCAGGGAAGCAGAACTCTGGTGGTTTCTGTGGTCATCAGATCCTCAGGGTCAAATTACAACCCTGTAATTCAGAACCTGGTTGACTTCTTGTTGTGTAATATATGGGCCAGCATCCATGTTGCTGTAAAGACTCTTGGATATTCAAGTTGCATGGACTCTGCTGCTGCATTCCCGTCCTGTTTCAAATGGAGGTCTCTTGCTGCTCTGCTGCTGCTCTGACAAGTTTCTTCCTGTAAGTCCCTGTTCAATACCTACCTCCCCCTAGTAGCTTTGGCACTTTCTGAAGCTCCCCTGAACAGATGGGCAAGGTGTTTGTCTCCAGCTCAAGCTAGCCCAACAAGCATGGGTGGCAGCCTGCAGCACCCTGACATGCTGGTCCATGCACAGGACCAGCTCCGTGGGAAACCCCACCTGCCAGAAAGCACTCATGGAAACCCACATGAGTTCAGGTAACAGGAAAGAGAGCACACTGACAAGATAGAGCTCTTAAAACTGTTTCTTTAAGACCCACAGAAGTTCCTTGTGGGTTAATACCACAGAGGGCCCAGGTACTGAGCATCCAGCAATGAGCATTTATATAGGACAATGGGGACAGTCTCAGAGACAATGGCCAGTACACTAATTACATGACACTCCTCTCTGGTACACTGCAAAATATGTTGAGTTTTGTCCTTTGAATAATTAGTGCCTACACTGTAAATAGCTGGTAGGCCCTAGAAGTGCCTTAGAGCCAGGATCAGCCACAGCTGGAGCATGAAGTCTGCCTCCTTGCAGCAGCAAGGGCTCAGCAACGGGGATATTAACCAACCGTCAGAGGGACAGGGAAACAGCACCCTCATTCTCACTAGCAAGGTTTCTTGAAGACACTCCCATTCAAATAAAAAAAACCTGTGTGGCTTTTGTGTTTTGAAGCTTCAGAGCATCACTGCATTTTAATAAAACTCCACTTAGGTAACCACTCTAAGAAGACACTGAACTCCTGAGAAGGGAAACTGGATCAGTTATCATTCATGTTATATTTGTATCTGTTAGCATTTATTTTAAACATAATGTTGACTACTACTACTTTAATTTATTATTCCATTAACTTCACTGTTTGTTGTGGGAAGTTAGAGCCAGTAACCATCCCTTTTCTCAGACACATTTGATAATAAGCATACTGAAAAAAAAAGTATACTATGCAATGTCTCAACTGCCTTTTATCTGTGGATAGAAAACTTTCAAATAAAGAGAAGTATGTTTTTAACTAACCCAGTGTCTGTTCACATTCTGTGCAGTATACAACGTTTTAAAAGTTTTATCATGGGGAGTGGAGGGGAGGAAAGGAGAAAGAAACCATGTGTGTGACTATTATTATGCTGTTGACAGCAGTAATTTATCTGCTTGGAAGAGTCTGTTATGCCTTTTGGAAATAGTCTAAAGACATATTCAACACTAGAGTCTGACAGCAAAAATGTAGCTGTTTTCAGTATGAGAGGGAGAAGGAAATATCAGGAGTGAACTATACAGACAGGCAAAACCTGCACTTGAGTCTCAGCTTTACTCTCTCTTGCTGTGCAACTGAATCCTGCCTGCCCTCCCTCAGTTCCTCACCCATGGTTAAGAGTTGAGGGAAGTATGACTATGTATTGGCTACAGCCATATCTGAGGTCAAAGTTATGTCCTTACATGCATTTACTGCCATGATTAGAGGTAGGAGAGTATGTACACTGTCCCAAGGACCAGTTCCACACATACTTGCTAGAATTCTCACTTCCAGGTGGGCTGGTCTCCCATCACTTGCAAACAATGATTATCATGAGAAATAAGCCCCTGTCCTGCCCAGGACATGTGCTGTCCCCATCCAAGACCCCAGACCCAAAGGGTCTGAAGAGTATGTAGGCATATAAGGCTTTATGTGGTTATCTTCTGCCACAACAATGGAATAATAATTTAAATTGAAACCTTACGACTGAGCCCAACCATTCACCCAGCACTGCCAATTCCACCACTAAACCATATCCCTAAGTACCACATCTACACATTTTAAATACCTCCAGCACTGGTGACACCATCACTCACAGGGTAGCCTGTTCCAATGCTTGACAGCCTTAAAGGAGCTATGAACCAGGGGACGTTTAGGTTGGATAGGAAAAAACACTTCACTGAAAAGGTTATGTCCTCTTGTCCTAACACTTGTTACTTGGGAGAAGAGACTGACCCCCAACTTCCTACAATGTCCTTTCAGGTGGTTGTAGGAAGTGATACATACCCCCTGAGCCTCCTTTTCTCCAGGCTAAACAAACCCAGTTCCCTCAGCTGCTTCTGGTAAGACTTGTGCTCCAGCCCCTTTACCAGCTCCCTTGCTCTTCCAAAGCACACAGAATGGACTGCTCCAGGAGAGCTGCAAAATGAGGAAACAACTCATGATTAGCAGTGTCTTGCATGTGCTTTGTAGGAGTAGTTTGTGTTGAATACACACACACAAGCGTCCCCCCCACCCCAGTGTAGAAACATATTCTCAAGGAACTAAAAAGAAAGCAAGGAAAGGCCTGCACCCCAAAGGGTGTTTAGCTCCAGCCTAGTATTTCTTTTCTTCACAATCAATTAGCTAATCCATTCTTTCTAAAGCATGACAGCTCAGGCTTTTGCTATCATTACTTGTTAAATCAAGATAAGTGCCTCTTTTCTAGAGCACTGGAGAAGGCAGTTCAATAATGGGTCCCAGATAGGCAGTAGTGCTGGAGAGAGCTCGAGGGTGAGATTAGAATAATCCTTATGTATCCTCTTAGTTTACTATCCTATTAAAAATGAAACTGGGACCAAGAGATTTTTTTTTTTTAGTCTCAGAGATTAACATGGTACAAAGAAGCTCTAAAATATTACGCTCATGTGGATATTTTCCTGCACTGCTAAAGATGATGATACAAGTTTCTGGAGAAGTATTAAAAAAATAAAAAGAAAAAAGGGCCTGTGAATATAAGAAATTCTGCCTGAACCTGAAAAGCAGCCAAGCCAGCAGCCACAGTAAAGCATTTCTCTCAAATTTCTAATGAAGTTTTGAATATGAGGCCTGGGAAAAGAACATCTGGGGTTGAGTGAGTAAGGAAATGTTTGAGTTCTGCAAACGCATGTCATTTAGTCACACTGTCCTTGTTTTCTCATCTGGAAGAGCAGTGTCTTTGGGAAGGAGGTGTTGGGGCATTGTCAAAGACACACACAATGTCAATACATCACTAAGCTATTTTTTCTTATAATTGCCTGCAAAGTTGAACAAATAGTTTATAATAACAAGCAGCTGTACAGGAATACTAAGTGGCAAAAGAGAGAGAATATTTAACTAGTCAGTCACAGCTAGGAGATGCATTACAGATCTCACCGGAGAAATGGAAAATTAAGAGACCTTTCCACAGTAACAGTCCAATTTATAAGAAGAAAACAACCTCAAATTTATTACTTCTCTGACAATGAGACTTTGAAACACCAAAGGAAGGGCCACTGTGTTTTCTTGTCAAGTAGACTCAAGGTTTTAAGTCTACCAGCTCAACCCAAAACCCAGAGCTTGGTGCCCGCTCTCAGGCTTCTTTTTAGTACCAGTCCCAGGGCAAGGCTCAGGGGCAGCATCTGAGAGCCAGACACAGCTCTACATCTAGGAGCTTCTTCAGGACTGTTCTGGGAGTCAGTGTCACAGGGACTGGGTTAGAGGTATCAGTGCCAAGCTGTTCCACTCCTTGGGGCTTGGGAGGGGTGATAGTGATATGTCCACCTCACTATTTCTATGCTATTCTAGAAGCTTAAAAATTTTTCCTATTGTTTTTGCTT